AATTAAATAAATATTTATGAAAATTCAATACTAACCTGCATGAATTTGTGTACTGTAAAAAATACAGATGATAAGAAACAAAATAAAAAATTTAATCATTTTTTTTTCTCGATAAATTATTTATCTCATTTTTTTTATTTTTTTTGCAATAATTATTTATATAAAAATTTATTAAATAATATTTTCAATAAAATACAATGATAAAATCAAAAAATATTAAAACATGATATTATTAATAACACTTAATATAAATAAATGAATTTTTCTCAATTCAAAAATAAAAAAAATGTCTGTAAAAAAACAAAGACAATATAAAGAAATATCGATAAAAGAAAGAAATTCGATATTTGATTTTTCAGGAGAATTTTCAAATGTGAGTTTTTTTCATTGAGTATAGTTCATTCATATATTTCATCATAAGTATCGCTGCTTTAGTAAAATGAGGTGTATCCGGGTTCAAGGTGCATTGATGAAAGAGTGTAAGATGAACTATATGAATGATTAAATTTGTATCTTGTTATAAGTTATCGCTGCTTTGATTATGATGAAGTCTGTACTGTTTTCATGGCAGATGGATGAAAAAAGTATAAAACAAGATATAATTACTTATATTTATTTTTTTATAGCTTTCTTTAGAAGAAAAAGAAAAAACATATTTGTTATTAATCAAATATTTATTGATGAAAAATGAAATCGGAATTAAAAGAATTAAAGACAAGATATTAATTGGAAATTATAAAACAATTAATATAAATATTAAATGTTTGTTTAAGCAAGAATGTTATATGATTAAGAAAAATGACGTCAAGAAGTTTGAAAATAAATTAAATGAAGATGGAATTGGATTTTTAGTTTCTAATGTATATATTTCTGAAGAAGCTATTGAACGAGTTGGTAATAATGATAGGATTTATTTATGTCATGAGAATCAATTAGTCAATGATATTAAAATTGTTGAAAAATTTAAATGTAATAATTTGAAAGTTATTACAAAAGGATTAAATTTAAATAATAGTGATTTAGAATTAAAATATTTAATCGAAGAAATAGTATTTTTAGATGATTTTCAAAAGATTATTAAGGAACGTCAAGAGTTATTTTTAAATAAATTAAAAACAAAGATTTTATTTTAATGTAAATTTATATAATTTTTTTTATTAAATATGATTAATCATGCATAATTAAAACACAGAGTTACTATGAGATTACTTAATTTAGAATGATTAGTTTTATTAAATTTTTATTTAAAATATTTGCATAAACCAATGAATAATATGAACGTATCTTTGTTTATGATCATCCGAATTTTTATGATATATAGGATTTTGTTCGACAAACACCAATTTTTACAAAAAAAAAATCATCCTTTTAAAAAATCTCAAAAAATTTCACATATTATTAATTATAAAAATTATAACTATGTCTCAACGTACAAGTGTTTCAAACATAAGCAGATCCTCATCTTTACAAGTTGAAGTTGATAATCCACCAACTTATGAAGAAGCTATTGCAGAAAGACAAATAGGTATAAATTCGTATTTATTTTATTTTATTTTATTTTTTATTAAATATAAACAATAAAATATTTTAGAATCGCAAAATACTGTTTCGCAATCAGAAATCGACCAAGGTAAAATTTAATATTAAATTATTTAAATATTAATAAATTACACTAATAAAATTAATTTTTAGAATACAACAATTATTTAAGTGAAAGAGTAACACATCATTTTGAATTTTATGAAAGTAGAATGAAAAAATTAGAAATGAACGTTGATAAATATAAAAATATATCTTTATTTCTTTTTATTTTATTTTCAATTGTTTTTATTTTATTCGGTATTTCCTGTTATTATTCATATATAGTTCATAATATAAATATTGTATTACTTAAAGAAAGTATTGAGGTTGAGACGAAAAAAATTGTTTTTAACGAAAATTTAGATAGGATTATTAATTTTTTAGATTCGCATAGAATGAAATAAAGTTTTTCTTGTTCGATTTCTGATTACGAAACAGTATTTCGTAATTGGAGATCGACCAAGTAGAATTTTATAAAAATAAAAAATATTTATTAATAAAATTAAAATATTTACAAAAAAATATATATAAATATAAGAAAACTATATATCTATTTTATTACGTTTTAACTTTTTTAAACTTTCTACAAATGTATCAATTATTTCACCTTCTCTTACAATATGTACATTTTCTCTTTCAATAAGAGTTATGTAAAAATTTCTTTCCTTATAAAACCACCAAGCAACAAAAGTAGAAACTACTATAAAATCTAAAGCCCAATAAAAGAGGGTCTTGTAGATGTTCTTTATTTCCATGTCAGAGTTTATTTGACTTTGGGTTGAATGATAATATTAAAATTTTATAAAAGAAAAAAAAAATGTTTTTATTTAATTACGAACCTTTGAGAGTTAGATAAATTATTTGAATTATTTGGTAATTCTGGAGATTGTAAATTTTCTTCAGAATTTTTATTTGAATTTTCTTGTTCCGATTCTTCAGAATTTTCTATTTTTTTAATATGTTTTTTTAGTTTTTTATTTTCTTCAATTACAGTATTTACTTTACTTTGTTGAATATAAATTTCTTCAGCGAGTTGGTTTATAAGTGAATCAGTAATGTTTTGTTGAGATTTTTGTATTTTTTCCATTGAAGATTTTTTTTAAAGATAATAACGATAAATGAAAAGACTTAAATACCAAATATCATATAATCATCAGCATCTTCTTGATTGTTTGAATAATTACCATCTCGGTTTCTATAGATGCTAGATTTTACTTCTTGATTATTGTTTTGGTGGGTCGACATTTTTGTTTTCTTGTACAAAGGAAAAAAGTTTTGATATTTTGTAAAATTCCAAATCAAAAATTTAAATTTGTTTGTTAATCTCAAAAAGAACGTATTAATAATTAAAATTCTATGATTCTTTTATTCTAAAATTCTATTTTGTCAAGTATTTGATAAGCATTTATCAGATAAAGATTATCATATATTTTTAATAATAGTTTTGTACGTGTGAATTTTTTTTTATATAAAAATTAAAAATTATATAATAATTATTAACCCCAAAAATTGGGTGAAAAGTTATATTTTAAGATTTGTTGATAATCATCTGAATAAATTCCAAGATTCTATTTTGTCAAGGATCGATAATTATTTATCAATTAGATCAAGTAAAGATCATTATATTTTGTACATGTGAAATTTTTAGTAATTATTTAGATTATCAATTCTCCCCAAAAATTGAGTAAAAAATAAACAAAGTCACATTTAAATTTTATGAATAAACTTTTTTTTGAATACAAAATTCTAGTTTCTTTGAACAAATACCAAAAACAAAGTTATAAAAATATTCAAATTATTAATATGAGAACAATCTAAAAAAAAATTAATTATTTTCTTTTTTTTAATAATGCCTTCTATTCGAAAATTTTCTTCTTTAAATTTTAAAGGATATATTACAAAATTTTTATCAGATATTAAATTTAATAATATGTTATATAATTTTGCAACACCCGAATCTCCTGGATTTAAATATTTGTATCTATTTAAAGAAGAATTTCATGCAAATATGGCTGAAATTCTTAAAGAAGGCCCAACTATACATCGAGTTTGTAAAATTATTTTACAAAATCTTGATAAAAAAATGCTTGCTGAATACAAAATCAAACCAATAAGATTTGATGAAATGAAAGTTTTTAATATTGAAGTGAGTGAACCAGAAGATTGGGATCCAAATGGTGAAAAGTGGTTCAAAATAAAAGATTTTTTATTTTTTACAGGGAAAAATTTTTCACATTACAAATTCATGTAATTTTATTTTTCGATTATTAATCAATTTATTTATATTTATTTATCTATTATCATTTTTATATTTAATCTGTATATTTTATTATAATAAATTTATCGTTATCATATTTATCAATGATATCATTTTGCATTATTTTAAAATTTTTTTAGAAATTGATCATCATTTTATTTATGTATAAATTTATTATTATGCACAGTGATAAGAATAAATTAAAAATATAAAGTATTATTTATAAATATAAGATTTGCAATTGATATTCGAAAAAAAAATCTAAATTTGTAAAGTAAGTATTAATTATTTTATTATAATTTATAAATATTATTAAAAATAATTTTGTATTTTAGATATGACTTCAAATTACCATAAACAAGAAAAAAATGTTTTACAAGAAAATAGTTTGAATTTTTTAAGAAGTATTATTCTCATCAATAAGAAATTCATGACAAATCTCATGATAATTTTTTTAGTAATTTTTATAATATTTTCTGTTACGATAATTATTTTATTCTATATTTTTTCTTCTTGTTACAAAGAAATTATTGAATAATATACTAAATTCTTTTATTATTGTATAATTTATTAATAAATATTCAAATAATTTGTATTATAAAATTATTAAATATTTAAGTGATTCTTGATATTATGATTTATTTTAATTAATTAAGAATGAAAAATATTTAAACATATTTTAATATATATTAATTTTTTGAATATTCGAATTACCAAACTGAACTTTTAATATTTTTAAATTTTTATGTTTAACGAATTCGTTAATCAAATACTCTCCTTCAGTATCTGGATTAATCTTGAATGAAATTATTTTTAAATATACAAGATTCTTCATTTTTTTTTTGATCAATAAAAAATCACCAAATTCATGAATTGAATTTATCAATGAAAGAGATTTAAGATTTTGTAATTTGATAATGTTTTCAATCAAGTTTGTATTATGAACACTTTTCAATACAAGACTTTTCATGTTTGTAATTGAAATTCTATCAAATAAAGAATCGAAATATTTAGGTAAATAACTAGATGATAACGAAAGACCTGTCAAATTATCTAAATTTTCCAACATGTCTAATTTTAAAAATTGATTGTATAAACTTAATAAAATTTTATGATTCTTCATATATCTATTGATCATTTCGAAGAAATCAAATTTATTATATATATGGATAAATTCGATTAAATTAGATCTTTTTAACAATAAATTAACTACTGTTTTTATAATGCCGGTAAGATTAAACTGAATATCTTTATAATTAATAAAAATATTTTTTATTTGAAGAGTATTAATTTTTTTAACAAAAGAAAGATAATTAAGTAATGGTTCTGCATCATATTTTTCTAAAAAAAAATCATGATAAAGATCTCGTTCATCATGTGATAAATTAAAATATATAATTCGCTTCAATGAATCAATCTTAAAATTTTTGCAATAAAAAGAATTTTTCCATAAAAATGGGATAGTGATCCTAGCCCAATCTCGAGAAACCAAAACATAGTTGAATAATGATTTTTCAATATCGTAAAGATATGATACTATGTAAAATATTAATTCATTTG